TACTCTGATTTATTATTACCAGATGAGACAAACTACGACAGCTCTGCTGTATACCTGCCTATTCATCAGGCCAGATAAAACTAAAGTATTATTTATTGCTTTACAGTAAAGATTTATTGCTGTTAGCTTTCTTTCCACTTCCGTATGAATCATTAGAGCAAATAAAGTTATTTGATCTTTTTGTGTAAATACGGTAAAGTATTCTAAATCAAAGCCTTAATCCGGTGAGAAGGCGATCCTGGCCCATGTCTTGTGTCCGCTGTGTATAGAAGATGGGATGATGGTGTTGTTGCTCGCTAACCGTTCTTCCTTCCTTCCCGTTTAGCCGCAGCCTTGGCCGTTTCACCTCCGCCTACGACCAGGCCCATTTCAATCCTCACCTCTTCTCCGGCGACGCTGCCTCTCGGGGGCCCTCTGGGGTCGTGGGCTCTTACAACCCCTACCTGCAGGCCGCCTCGCTGAAAGTCCCCGGCCTGGAAGGCTACCAGAGCGGGGCCGTCGGGACCAGCAGCTATGGGACCCCCTCCACACTACAGCAGGCCCTGCTCTCCCCAACTCCTCTGGACTACTGTCCCCCGCAGCAGCACGTCACCCCCACCCTGCAGGGCCTCCTGTCCCCTCGGCACTCTCTAACAGGCCACGCCGACCCCAGGCTGCCCCCCCAGGACTTGGCCGCCCTGCTGAAGAGACAGAACCTCCGGCAGTGCCCGGCACAGCAAACCCCATCCAGCGGTGCTGGTCAGGAGTTTGGAGAAATGCTGCTTCTCCGCCAGCTTAGCCAGGGAGACACCCTGGAGCCCCCCGTACCCCAGCCCACCTCCGGGGGTCAACACTACCACCATCTCCTCCAAATACAACCCCCAGAGGTTCAGCAGCAGCAGCATGTGACTCAAGCGCCGTGTCCCAGCCTACCACACTCAGAGAGTATGGAGGAGGATGAGGCCCCTGCTGGATACCACCACCCGCATGAGGGCCTGCTGGCTAAGGCAGGAGAAGCACATGAGCTCCTGGGGCCTCCCCGAGGTGGGACCCCGCCTTACAGCTCCCCCACGCACAGGCACGGTGCTTACATGAGGAGTCCTCCTGCTTCTAGAGGTCCGACTCTTAAATCGAACCCAAATAAGAAGTTGATCATTCCTCCTCTTGTGTGTCACCCTTCCTTCATATGTAATCTCTTGTTTTAGAATCTGAGCGTGTAGAGTGCCGGCCCCAAGGACAGGCCATGGAAGTGCCTGATCACAACGGGCTTAACTATCAGCGAGCCCCCCAGAGTGAAGTGTATCGATCTAGAGGGCAGCTCCAGCGCCACCACACCATTCAGACCTGTGATGACGCCTACGTGAGTGAATCTCTGCCCTTTCTTTCACTTTATGTCCAAATTCCTTTAGCCGCTTGGCTTACAGACTATCCGTCCCTGCATCCATCACGCTTATACCAAGCGGGGTCGCGAGGGGTAATGGTGCCTATCTCCAGCTGTCTACGGGCGAGAGGCAGGGTCCACCCTGGACAGGTCGCCAGTTCATTGCAGGGCAACAGAGACAAACAGGACCAACAACCATTCACACACACACACCATAAAACCACCACCACCACAAAACGGGCAAATTCAAAATAAACCCAGAATTGACGTAAATTCAGGCATGTTGCCTAATTTGGTTCTGGTCTGCACTCCCCGAATTTTACATGTAGGCAAGCCCACTGGCTCACCGGCCCAAGTAGTTGGACGATTTTGAAATTTCCCCCCGGCCATTTTTTTTAGGTATGAAAAGTAGGACATATCCGGGAAAAAGAGGACGTCTGGTCACCCTACCATATCAACAATTTCGATGTTTCAGTGAGTGAGTGCTTGTTGCTATGATTCCTCTTTGCTCAGCACCTTCGCTCGTTGTAAACCAACCAATCAGCACACAGCTCATTTAAATATTCATGAGCATATCTTAAAGGAATAGTACACCCAAAACATGATTAGCCTTCATTTTCTACTCACCCCCATGCTGAACAACACTCTGGAGTACTTTTTTGATATCTCAAATGCATCTGGAGATCTGGGAGGCTTCTTGCTGTCTGCTGACATTCAAATAATGGAGGTCTATGGCGCCCGAGGCAGAAAGGTCCATAAAAGTCCACAAAAAACGTGTCAATATTCCTCCATACTGCTCGTCCAATGTATTCCAAGTGTCCTGAGTGGGTAGCGTCCATAATTTACTCGAAACAAAGTCATTTAGAATGTTTTTAGAGCATAAACAGTAGTGTATAGGATTTCCTAAAAGCGCGTTCACGAGTCTACGGAAACCGTGGCAGACCAAACCAGACGAAAGTGCGCATTCAGCTCGGCAAAGAACTCATGCTCTTCCTCAACACTGAAGTCCTCAGACATTTTTCTTTCGTTGTTTCTTTCTTTGCACAGGTAAACAGCACATTTCTTCTTCTACGCTTGCATTATTGGCAGAGCAGACGCTGAATGCGCACTTTCATCTGGTTTGGTCTGCCGCGGTTTCCGTAGGCTCGTGAACGCGCTTTTAGGAAATCCTATACACTACTGTTTATGCTCTAAAAACATTCTAAATGACTTTGTTTCAAGTAAATTATGGACGCTACCCACTCAGGACACTTGGAATACATTGGACGAGCAGTATGGAGGAATATTGGCACGTTTTTTGTGGACTTTTATGGACCTTTCTGTCTCGGGCACCATAGACCTCCATTATTTGAATGTCAGCAGACAGCAAGAAGCCTCCCAGATCTCCAGATGCATTTGAGATATCAAAAAAGTACTCCAGAGTGTTGTTCAGCATGGGGGTGAGTAGAAAATGAAGGCTAATCATGTTTTGGGTGTACTATTCCTTTAAAGGAAGAAAATCTGTCGTTTCATTCTAGGGCTCATAGAACAGCAAATATACCATTTTCAGCCCAAACAATGTTACACACCCTATTCAGCACCAAATACCCTATATCAGGGTTCTCCAACCTTTTTAAGGCTGAGGGCTACTTCATGGTTACCGAGTCATAGGAAGGGCTACCAATACTGACCTATAAACTGGAGGGATCAGTGTTCACCTACAGTAAATCTCATCCATAAAAACTCATTTTTATTCTTATTTTATTCTTTTATTCATTTCTAATTTTCTTTTTAATATTGTCATTTTGAAACCACTGAAATATGATGAAATAGTTGACATAATGAAATAATACATACATGATTAAAAAGAAGAGCAACACAATAAAACAAAATTAAACTTAACCCACTGAGTGAGTTCTTCTGTTTTCAGAAGACGAAGAGGGCACCCCATGTGGACCTTGAGGGCCCCTTGGTGCCCGTGGGCACCGCGTTGGTGACCCCTACCCTATATAATCATTCTATGACCCCTTTAACAGACATTTTTTTTGGACTAACTCCCTCCCTGTGGGAGGTTTGAAGTCGGAGTACCCAGAGAGAACCCACACATGCGCCGGTAGAACATGCAAACTCCATGCAGAAAGACCCCAGGCCGGGATTTAAACCCGGAACCTTCTTGCTGCAGGGCAACATTTTAAAAGCATTTGCTCACAGCCTACAGCTTACAGACTAATGAGATGTCAAAAGTAGGACTGAGTTTTAATGGACTTGAAATCTTACAATATTTTGTTGTACTTTTGGCATACCATAAATGTAAGGATTTAATATATATATTTTTTTATCTTTTTTTTTTTTTACCCCTCTTAGTGTCTGATTTTGTCTGGAAAAAAAAAATATGGGTCCCTATTCCTGCTTGGTAGCTAAAATAATCATAGAACAAATTAAACGGTGCTTTAATCTGTCTTATAAGGGGACTTTTTTAGGAAGAAATTAGCAGTTCAACATCATTTTATGCTGCTGCTTTAAAAGAATTTATTTGGTCTCAGATGTTTACCACCGGTTTGTTGCTCCTGGTTGCACGTTGTTTTTAAACTTGCTTTGGGATGTTCAGCTGCCAACGTCTGATGTGGTATTTTTTTAGTGAATCATAATTGAATAAAGTGTTTCATATTTTCTCCTTTTAACTGGGAGAATTAGCTGTGATTTATGATGGGCGAGTGATGTCATGCAACGAAGAACTGGTAGGAACGCATCCCCCCTCTGTGTGATTCGTTGAAGGTGCTTTGGGGCAACTTCAGACTTATTGCAGCTCATCAGCTTTGAGGCTCTGGAGGGAAAAATGAAATATGCAAATTAACAGAACATAAACTCACCCTTGGCAGCTCTAATATGTACGATTAGTGGAAATGTTGAAATCTAAATTAATTGTCTGTAATCCAGTGGAAGCAATACAAAATGTCCGCTTTTATTTTTCTAACTGTTGTTTCTTCCTTCTGCTCAGGATCAGGCGGATCCCATGTCCGGCATGAGCCTCTTGGCAGGAAAGGCGCTCAGCTCAGCTCGCATGTCGGACATCCTCAGCCAGACGTCTCTGACTGGAAGCCAGCAGCTGCACCAGCGGGAGGAGTCAGGTCAGCACTGGAGATTCAATCCCCTCCAGCCTTGTCTAGATCTCTCCTGGTTTTTCATGCCAACTCAGTAGAGCGTCTGTGTTTTTCCCTCAGTTTGTGATGTAGAAGGGGAGCTCCATGCTTCAGCCTGTTACCCGTCGTCCTGCACCAGTGACATGCTCCTCAGCTACAAACCCCCTGATCTGCAGTACAGCATGGAGCAGGCTGGGGTTTAGCGCAGGTATGAGCATCAAAAAGAAGAAAAAGACACATTCTTGGTGTGTTTTACCAAACTACCAAAAAGTTTATCAGCCTTTTAGTACGTTTTAGGCACCTAAAGCTTCTGGTTTCTGACATGAATCTTAAAACAGCAGGTACTAAAACCTATATTTCTTAGTTTGCTTGTCTGTTGTTTCTGAGTCCTCTCTCTTATTTTTTTATTTCCCTTGATTCTAATATTGCAAAAGTTTTCATACTCCTTAAATGTTTTCACATTAAAAGCCCCACACACCTCCTTTTCACATTTCTAACAAATATTATATAAGTGGGGGTTTTTTTGTGCAGCGCTGAAGCACCTGGCGCTGTTTTCTTTGCTTTGCCAAAGCTGGCTATTCTGCGGCGGACGGGTTGGTAACCTGCGGCTCTCTGGAGCGCAATTAATCGGCACGCAACTATAACTCTTTTACCAGTTTAAGGATAAAATCTCTGCGTGAGACGGCGACGTTCCAACAGCGCTTTAACAAAACCAACGTGTTTATAGCTGCTATGTCCAGGAGATGGTAAAATACAGCCACGGGCCGCCTTCGCGTTGCAGCTGTTACAGAATACTTTCTAATCATCTGATCCAACACATCCACACCGACCTGTGTGTGATTATAGTAGACCAGGGGTCTGGTTTAACTTTTGGCCGGCTGAGTGCACTGTGCTATCCAAACCTTTGGGAAAAGTTTCCCTAATATCTGATGGGTCGCTGATACACTGCAGAAAATCCAAATAAGTCATTTTTTTTCTTAAAATAAGGGAATTTTTTCTTGAATTGTGAAGATAAGTGAGACACTTTGCCAGTGAAACAATACAATTTACATTTAAAGTAAGAGAAAACAATTGCAATGTCTTATTTTAAGTGCATTTTATCTGATTATCTTATTCTAAGAGTAAAAATACTCATTCCATTGGCAAATGATCTTATTTACCTGCTCAATTTAAGAGTAAATTCACCTAATTCAAGTCAGTTTTACTTATTTCTAGATCATTTTTGCAGTGTACGTCTGCATTGATCATCCTCGGACTCGCTTTCAGAATCTGAGCCGCTTACTACCAACCTGTCATCATTATCATTCTCTCCATCTCCACCGTATCGCCATCATAAATATTTGGAAGCATTTCTAAATTCTGTTGAATAGATTTCTTCTGAAAGCGATTTTTCCATAGCCAAAGAGTTCTAGGAAGAAAGTCGGTTGCTAGGCAACGGTACCAAACGTCAGTCAACCAACCACAAAAAAAATTTGCGATGCAACTAATAGAGCGGTGAAAATGATGGCTGTGGGAGTTAGTTTTTATTTTATTTTATTTTTTTAACTATGTGAAAATGAAGGAAATATAAAAACTGGAAAAGTCGGTTAACATGAGCAACATATTAATGTAAATAAAGTTTTTTCACTTTAAAATCTCAGAACCGTCAAACCGTCGGCCTGTGAGTTCTAGTGTTTAAACACATAAAACATTCTGATGATATTGAAACCTTCCTGCTTGGCTTATTTAAGACTTCTTTTTTTGTTATTCCATAAATATTGTCTGAAATTAAAGTTCAGCTTCAAAACGAGATAATTTAATTCAACCTTACTGGAGGTACAACTGCTACAGTTCCTCAAGGATTAAATCAGAGCAAATAAGACAGGTTGGAGCCAAAAATAAAGTTTATTTATTTTCCTTTCTATTTTGGATTAAACATTTTGTCCATAAATCTGGTTGTACACATCAAATACCTCCTACATCACTGTTATTTTATAATTCCCCTAGGCTTATGTATTTTTCAGAAGATTATCGTTTTTTGCTTTGTGCTGGCACGGTTGCTAGGCAACCACAGTTATGCTAAAGAGAGGGGTGGGGATGACTGCTGAAGGCTAGACAGTTTATCCCTTGAGGCCTTCATTGTTTAACACACCTTTAAAAGCTGCCCATTGCTCCTCATCATAATCCGATATACCATTTAACCGAAAAATTTAACGGATATAAATGTTTTTTCCGGGCTAAACTATTATTTTTTTAAAGATTACAACAAGTTTTTAATAGAAGATCAGATCTGTCTGCTTTATTCTTAGTGGAAAAGATTCCAGCTGCAAAAGATGGTGCCAGATGTGTTGTTTGTTCTCCAGTTTTAGGATTTTGAATGCAAACGTTGATTTGTGTGTTTTGTCCCTCTGCCCTTCCGTAGGAAGCGGTGAATCCTGTGTGCGTCGTCCATATCAGCCACCCTGAGTTGTTGACTTGAGTTGAGCAGCTTCACGCCAAACCACCGCCTCCGCCCAAGCCAGGGGCGCTCAGTGTCCATCTATCTGTTTCCATCTGTCCCTACGGAGGGAGGCCGAGAGAGGGGAGGGGGTTTTCCGGTGGGTGGGCCAGAGTTGGGGGGGGGCCTCGGGGTTCAAAGGTCAAAGTGCCAGCATTTTCTACGCAGACATCCAGCATGGTTCTGTTGCAGGTTGTCTTCTCTTCTCACCTCTCATCTTGGGTAGCTTGAGGTCTGACTCCCACCCCCACAGTTTCAGCCCCCCCTCCCCCCGTCGACTTGGCCCACTTCACGCCAACTCCTCCCTCCCCGGCTATGTACGACATACGTTCATGACGGCCGGCGCTTTCACACGGCGGCACCATCAAACACACACACTGCTGCCACCGCAAACCCAAAGTATTCCCAACAGGACGGAGTGTGTGTGTTTGTCCCATGTGGACGGGGGCGAGGAACGCCATCCTGGAGCAGCGAAGGACCCCCACCCCAAAGACCCCTCTTTTCAGCTGTTTTTTGCTCAGGCTCTGACTGGGCAACCAAAACGGCTCCATCTAGTGGAGCTCTTCAATGTCGCACAGGACAAACCAGCTCTTCTTCTTTATTTTGTGGCATTCTGTTTCATTTTAGTTCCAGACTCATTTTACAGTCAATGTAGACATTTTTGGTCGACATGGTTACTCTTATGGTTTTTTTTCTGTAAAAGATGTTTATTATATGAAATATTATTAAAGGAGAATAGTTATGTGTGGCGAGGAGGACAGCGATGTCCTCTGGCTTAATTCTGCACTTTGGGTTCATGTTGTGCGTCTCGGTTTTTCCTCTCCTCTTCCTCATGCTTCAGCCCTACCTCCCCCCCACTCTGTGTCCTCCACCCTCCCACCACGTCAGTGACAGTGTATTGCATTGTGGGTAGTTTTACCAGACATTTCCTCCTTTCCTTGTACAGTGATGCCATGTATAGAACGCTATTACAGTTTCTGTATCAAATCATTTTTCTTTTTTTTTTTTCATATTGTTGTTGGGGAAGCTTTTTATTTTTTATTTTTATTGGTATTGTTTACCGTTTGTATTTTTGGAGTCGTTTCAATGTTTTCCTTTCTGTTTTATTATTATTTTTTTTTGCTTTAAGAATCTTTTTTTAAGCCAAAAGAGGACAGAGAAGAGAGCTCCACTCTTTCTGTCGTAAAAAAAAACGATTGTTATTATTTTAATATTATTATTATTATATTGACACACTTGAATAGGAGAAGAGCAATTATGTTTTATTGCTTTTAAAGGTATCATTTCAATTGATGTTGTCGTGACTGTCATTCTCGTCGATGTCGGACCTGTTTTCTGTTACCGGGGCCGTCGTGGCAGGCTATACAGGGTCAGGCTTCGGGCTTTGTCTGGGTTGGTTTGGGTGCTACAGAGACTATTTAAAAAAAATAAAAGAAAACAGACAAATAAACAAGGGAATAACTTGTATAATAGCTGACATATCATCCTAAACATCCCAAGCCTGGAGACAGATAACCCCCCTCCCTCCCTGCTGTGATCCTCCAATCATCCTCAACTACATCGACTTCCGACAAGATGGCGCCTTATGAACTCGGCCCCTCTACCTGAGCTAACTTTGCTACGAGCACGGAGGAAAACTACAGTTATTTCATTTTCTGTTTATTTTTTAATGTTTTTTGTTTGTTTTTTTTTAAACTGTTTGACCCCCCAACCAGGAGCAGAGGATTTGGAGGAGCTGCGTCTCATGAACCGCTAAAAGATCCCTGCTGTTGGAGGACGCCGGCTAACGGAAAAAGGGAATCGTTTCAGGAGTCAGACAGCAAACGAACCCAAGCTTGCATTCAGAAATGACTCTGAAAGGGCAGCGGAATGCAAGCTGCTGCAGCACCTTGGGGACCGCCATGGAAGGATCAATGAAACCTCCACCCTTCCTCCCAAAGCACTGAACAGTTAAAATGGCCGCTTTAAAGAAGAGTTCAGCGTGTCGATAACTGACTGCACAGTTGCCATCCTGTAATAAACGCCAATCAGCTTGCTTTTAACCAGAGAGGGCCACTCTGATTGGCTAGCCCTCTTAAACAAGGAACTCTGGCATCAGTTTGTGTTCTTCTGCCCCCCCCAGGAGAGAACAGCACAGTCACAGTTCTAAAATGATAAATCCAACCAATTGATGTCATGTTGTGACTGGCCTGAGTAACGTGAGGAGGTTGGAGCAGATGTGTGGCAGAAGGGACCACTTATGGGAAATGAAAAGACTGCACAGAGTTTATAAAGCAGGCTGCCTCACATCCACACATTCAGCTGGATCAGAATAACCATCACTGCCCCCCCTCACCCCCTTTATTTTTATTTTTTTTCCCCCTAAGCCATCTTCCCCCCCTCCATCCCCACAGGTCGACTCTCTGCTCCGCTCCTTCCTCATTTAGTTTTTTTTTTTTTTTTCCTAACGGTTAATTTTATGAATTCCTCTTTTTTTTCTGTTGTTTTTCTGTTCATTTCTGTTGGGTACAAAAATACTAAAGTGCAACAACAATGGTTCAAAAGAATATCAACCAAACTGAGATGAATAAATAAATATATATAAATAAATAATTTAAAAGGATTGGTGTGTTTGTGTGTTTGTTGGTTTTCTGCAGACACATTTTTATTTGCCAAGATTATTGACAGCATCCAAACTGAGAGATATCTGTTTATGTTAAATTAGGTTTTTTTGTCCTCTGCGTATAGAACTGCTTTTATAATGTGGAGCTTTGCAAAAAAAAAAATCCCACCTCTTCTCATCCTTTTGATAGGCCAGCTTAAAGTGGTACAAAAATAACGAGGTAAACCTCAAAAGCTAAACTCTTCAGAGATCTTTTTGATGCAAACCAAAGTATTTGCTTCCCTGAGGCCGTTCAGGAGTGATCATGCTTATCACATAAGGACTCTTCTTTTTAACCTTTTAATTAATAGCTTTTACTGAATCAGGTTATATGATCGTTAGTTTTAGATTGTGGCTTGGTTCTGATTGGATCCAGGGGCTTCAGTTGTATCTCAGCCTAAATGGTTCTGGTCGTTCTGCTGCCACCTGTCAACCGCCTCCCTATTAAAGAACTTTCACACAGCCTGATGCAGCCACTACCTTGTTTCCCAGTAGAAAAGCTGTGTTCAGACTGTTTATTTTCCAATTAACATTTTACATGTAGACCTGCAAGTTCAGTTGGGAGGTCATCTGACCAGAACGTCATCTTCCATATCTGACAGCGGATGGTTCTGGAAACATTCATGCTGTGGATCTCAGAAGCATCTTCATAGACCTGCCATGGACCCAGTTTTATTCATCTTCCCATCAGCTTTACCACTGCTAAAGGAAAGCATCTCCACTTTCTTATTCTGCCACTACAATTGCTTTATAATGGAGAGGGTATTTCAGTTTTCTCTCATGCAGGTTTTTTTCCATTTAGATCATGGCATTAACGAGAGCATTGTCTTTTGCATGTTTTTTTCCCCATCATGGCTGGTGGCAGACCTTAAATCGAACCTCTCACGGCTTTATTTTTGTCACTCTTCCCTAAAGCCCAGATATGCAAAATTCACCGCTGTCTTTTAAGCAGATCCTTCAACATAAGCGATGGATTTCTGCAGCTCCTCCAGAGTAAGCAAGGGCCTTTAATCTTCATTTGTGATCAATTCTGCCTTTAAGTAATCTGACATTTAAATGATCCGCCATGTTTCTGTAGGTTGGATGTCATTGTATTATACTTTTTCCACTTTCAGATGATGGATGTTTAAAGCTTGGAATATTGTTTTATTCCTAACCCTCCAAAACCTTCTCCTTGAACCAGTGTTGTAGTACTCGAGATCGATCTTGGTCTTGAGACCATTTTTTGAAGGTCTCGTCTCGGATTTGACCGCATTTGGTCTCGGTCTCGAGCGCTGAGGACTCGGCATTTTATTTCAAGACCACAACTGTGGAAATAACACTAATCATCAGAATATTATCAGTTTCTTTAAGATCCTTCTTTTTATTGGAT